TTATATTCTATTCATTAATAATACACAATATTGTCCTAACAAATATCCTATTTATTTCTGTGTTTGTTTGTTAATCATGTTTTTCATTTATTTTTGCCTCCTCTAACTAAAATGTCACCTGTATGAAACAAGGATCTTTGAATTTTTATTTGCTGATGGATTTCAAGTGTGTGCAATAGTGCTATACATGTAGCAGATACCTAAGAAATATTCTTAAATAAATTAAATATTTTCCCCTAGGCATATCATATCTGTTGCTTCTCTTATTTCTGTTATCAATGTTTTTAAAAAATTAAACTTTCTGTATGTTTGCTGCTGACACATTGAAACACAATTCATACTTATTAGTTATTTTTGTATTCAGAAAAATTTCCAACTGCTGACTCCCATAAATTATCTATAGATTTGTAATTTTTACACAGAAAACCTTGGCATCTAAGCATAATGATAGTTTTTTCTTCTTTTTTCTTCTAATTTTTATAGTTAATTTTTTTTTAACTATACTAACTTTCAGTACAATGTTTCTAGAAGTTGTGATGGCAGGCATCTGGCTTTGTTTCTTGTTTCAGTAGAAATGTTTTCATTGTTCTAATTGATGCTTACAGTTTTCTTTGATGATTTTGGTCTGTTTAATGAATTTTCTTTTAATTCCAAGTTTCCTAAGAACTGCTTGTTTATTGTGAATATATATTCAGCTCTATTAGGTAATTCTGCTGCTATTAAGATATTTAGTAAATTTGTTGTCTTTTGATATTTTTTTGTGGCAAACTACATTATTGGTTTCCTACTATAAAACCTTGAATCTTTCCCAGAAGATAAACAAACTTGAAGATTAAAAGCAGGAGGAGAATGAGACGACAGAGGATGAGATGATTGGATGACATCACCAACTCGATGGACAAGAGTTTGAGCAAGCTCCAGGAGTTGGTGATGGATAAGGAAGCCTGGCATGCTGCAGTCCAAAGAGTCAGACACAACTGAGTGACCGAACTGAACTCAACTAAATATCAAATCACCTGGCAAGGCTAGGGAAAATTCCACATGGTCACACTGTATTACCTTTTCTACACTTTGCTTGATAAGTTTGCTATCATTTCATTGAGATATTTTGCATCTATTTTTATGACAGAGATTGTCCTGTACTTTTCCTTTCTCATACCTATCATGTTTTGGAATCAACTAAATATTCTTATGAAAGGGACTGGAGAGTACTTCTCCCCTTGCCCCCATACATTTGAATCGTTTTATGATTAGAATAGTCTATATTTTCAATGTTTGTAAAATCTCAATGTAGAAACTATTTTGGCTTGTAATTTTCTTGTGTGAAGTTTTTATACTTTTCACTAACTCCTTTTCTGGCCATAATTATTCATGTTTGCTATTTCTTCTTGAATGAGCTTTGGTAGGTTAAGTTTTTAGAAATTCAGTTTACCCAAGCTTTCAAATTCGTCTATATAAAATTCATAATATCATTTTATTGACATCTTAATATTTGTGGTATTTGTAGGTTAGTATTCTTTTTATTACTAGCATTGCTCATAATTTATCTTTTATTTCTGGCTAATTTTACCTAAAGCTTGTCAATTTTCTGCCTTCCCAAAGAACCAGTTTTTGACGTTGTTGAGTTTTACTAGTGTATAGTTGTTTTCTATGTTACTTACATCTGCCACCATCTGTGAAATGGAATATCTCTGGCCATATCAATCAACCAGAAATGTCATAGCCATCAGGGATTTCAGGGCTCCAAATGTGAATGAGTTCCCCAAAACAGAAAACAATGCCTGTGATCCAGCAGATTCCCCATCCCCACGGTGACTGCTTAGGAGCTGGGGAATGCAAGAAGCAGCCATCTGCTTCTTCTTGAACAGGAATGAATGGAGGATGTAAACAATTAGGAAATAGGATATGGCCCCAGATAGCAGAGATGTATGTGAAAGGAATGAATTCAGTGAGTCCAGAGGCTTGCATCTTCCCATACACCAAAGAACGCTAAATTCCTTAGCTAGGTATCTGGTTTTCCTTACTAACAATAGTCTTTGATGTTCAGACTGCCTGCCCGCTTTGTTGCAAACTTGTATATAGCCTGACTTCCTTTCCTGCCTGTAGGAGCAGTTTTCTCAGGGCTACTGAGATGCTGGCCCCTGGGTTCAGAGTCCTTAATTTGCCCACCAAATAAAACAACTCTCTTATTTACAGGTTGTGACCAATATTTTTTAGTCGACTTATCCATATTATTTTTTTCCTTCTACTGATTTTGGATATTTTATTGTCTTCCTTTATTTTTAAAGTTGAATGGTTGACTCCGTTTTTAGCTTTTCTTTTTTTGTAAAATGAACATTTAAAACAGTAAGTTGTTAATAGCTGCTGCTCACAAACTTTTGACATGTAGCACTTCCATTACTGCACTGTTCTAAATAAATTGTACTTTTCATCATGAATTTTTCTTTGGCTCAAGTGTTATTTAGAATTATGTTGCCTAATTTCAAAACAAATGAGACCATTTTGTTTTATTCAGAGGGGAATGTTTATACTCTCTTAATTAAATTGAGGTCTATAAAAGTCTGATCTTTTTGATACCAATCATTGAATGTTTTTGAGATCTGCTTTATGCTTCAGCATGTGATCAATATTTGTATATGTCCCATATATGCTTAAGAAGAATGTGATTTCTGTAGAGTTCTATATATATGTTCATCAAAATAAGCTTGTTATTGTTAATTGCATTCTTTTTTTCTTCTTAGCTGTTTACAAGTAATAAATATGTGTTAAAATCTTTAATAGTATACTCAGATTGCTAAATTCTCCTGAAATTCTTAAAATTTTTCTTTCATATATTTGATAGGTGTATATAATCTAAAATGTTTACTTCCCATTGAATTCAATTTCTTATCCTGAAATTGTGATGAGACAATTCTACTAAGAAACATGAGACTCTCTGGTTCACTTAAGTCAGCTTCATGACATTGTGTCTAGTTGGGGAGTAGTGGCTTTCTTTTCCTTTCTTGCTCATAGGAGGGCAGTATGAAAGACTTTTATTTTTAATGGATCTTTGACAGGTTTCCACATCTCATGGCTTCAGGGTATTTTGGAAGCTCTGCTCTGATGGTAGCACACTTCTTATGAACAGCAGTGGAATAGAGACAGGAGATAGATGGACTCCAGGCTAGGCATTTACAACTGGCCTCCTGTTCACACCTCCTGAGGTGAGAAGATGAGTTCCAGGTCGGACATTCATTACCAGCCCCTTGTTTATATTTCCTGAAGCAAGAGACAAACAGGCTCCAGGACTACATATTTATGACTGGACTCCTGTCTACATTTTGGGATCTACACGTTAATATAAAAACCAGCCACAGGAATAGGGTAAATAGCTGGACACTGGACATTTTTATGTCAAGGATAGAATAAAACTAAACCCTGTTAAAAGAGCAGGATGTTGTATATTTCCCACCCTTGTGGCAAGGGAGACATTTCATATGCATAGAAAGACTCCTTGGGGGACCAAAGGAGGTAGTACCATCCCATAATATGTGATGATAACATTCCATAGGCCTCTGGGCTGGAATCCATCTTAGAAAAAACTTGCACAGGCATGTCAGGGAGGGTCTTAGGGTAGGTCAGCTGTGGAAAAAGAAATCAGATAATTAGTTAGAGATAAACAAAAATCCAGAAAAGGCTGGCCCATGTAAATAACTTAACTGCGTCTTCACTGCACCCCTCCTCACTAGGAGGGGTGCTCACATCCTTCCTCTCTGGGTGTGCATCTCTGTCTTGCTTCTACATTAAACAAACCACTTCTCTGGGGGCTCTGCTACTCGTTGTTGTGTGATGTCTCTAATAATAAACTTTGTACTTGCAGGAACAGTTTTTGCCTCTGGGATAAATGCATTTTTTGCTGGGGGCAAAGAAAAGTAGCTTCTAGCCTCTAGTCTTTGCTGTCTGGTAGCAAGGATTCCTGTTTTTCACACAGGCTTCCCAGATCCAATGCTTAGGCAGGGAGTTAGGACCTCACTTCATTTCACCACTCACTGCTGCCTCGCACCAAGATCAGAATTGTTTCAGAATTTTAAAAATTATAAATTTTTAAATTATAAATTAAAAATTATAATTTTTCCCAATAAGGGGCTGGTAAATATGGGCATTTTTCCAGTGTCATTTCCACCATTTCAATGTCCTTAGTTTGTTTGTTAGGTTATTTAAGGGTATCTTATATGAAGAGGGTAATGGATTAATATCCTCTTATGGCATCCAGGATATAAAAAATATATGTGGGAGTAATTTTTTAAAATGAGATGTACTATCATATTAGAACACACACCAATTGGCACCTCTGTTTTCTCTGAAATTATTCTCCTTCAGCAGAGACCTCAATGCTGTGTGTGTACCATGTGACATCCCTGTCACATCAAATCACTCCTCTGCCCATCAAAGAGTGGAGGTTGTGGGCTCTTGAACCATGCATTGTGAAAAAAATTTGGAATAAAAAGTATGAGGCTTGATCTTGTGAGCTGGAAAGACACAAAAACATGGGAGATGGGGATGACATTCTGGTTCAGCCATCTTCTGCCATGAATACAGAGCAAGTCATCAAGATGGAAAGAAGAGAGAAGTTGAATTTGAGAGGAGCAGAGAAGAACTATATGTGGTCTCCTTCTCCTTTTCTTTCTCTAAGAGTAATTTTAGATATTCTAATATCTTTGCAATACCCTTCCCCCTCTTTTGGCTTATGCTACGTTGAGTGGATTTCTGTTGATCTGGAATGTTACTATGCACATCAACTATAGGGCAGTCTTCAGAGCAGTTGGATGGTCTTGGAACTATTCCCAGAGCTGTGGTTAGTAGTGTCTGAAGCAGCTGAAGGGGCTCTTTATAAGGGACAGGTTCTGAATATAGGCTAACATTTGGGTCTAATGCACTTCGACAACTCAATGCCACCATACAGCACTTTTGACCCTGTGCTTTCCAAGTAGAAATACTAAAGAATTTAGTATAAAGTGAACTCAGTGCTAAATAGGTTTATTGACATTTAAGGAAACCAAACAGGACTAGGCGAGAATATTTCAGAATGATATGATAAACACCATTAGAACCCACATTTTTCTGAATAGAAAATTCTGATGACTAAACGCACAGGAACTTTTTTTTTAGTTCTCCATTGCTTCTCCACATAAGGAAATGTTCAGAATCCAGAGTATATCAACCTTGATGCACTTTTCTGGGTACAGAATCAGGTTTGCTCCTGATAAAAAAAGAGGAAAGCACTATCAATGACTTTTCAACAACCTCTTTTAAGGAGGATGGTGGTGAGGAATGTTGCACAGTTTTCAAACCAACTCTGCAATAATTTCAAGATTTAGCTAGCTAGCCATAAATCAACCAATTAAGAGATCTAAAAAGTTGGTGTTTCATTCGATTCCTGAGTGGACACCCTGTTTCTGTGTAAGTTATTGTTTGAATGCTCAGAATTGGTGATTGTTTGAGCTTTAAAAAAACCAACAGATTCTATCAGCATTCTCCTTGCATTTAGTGATTTATGAGTTTCTTGAGTTTACTCTAGATTCACCCATGAAAGGAAATATTTCAGAATGGTTAAAAATCACAGAATCCAGAGCCAAAATACTTAAGAAAGACCCAGGCAAGGAGTTTGTGTCTTCTGTGCCTGTTTCCTCATCGGAAAGTGAGAATAACAATAAAGTCTATCACATAAGACTGGGATCACGAGTAAATGAGCTAACTCACGTAAAGCCCATTGAATGGTGCACGGCACAGAGCAAGCACTACATAAGTGTTAGCTTTGATCACCACCTCCTGAGTAATTTGTGTCCTCCGTGGACATTGAAAACAGTCTGACAATCCTACCAGCATGAACTCAGAATGCACAGTAGGGGGGTCCTCACCCTGAATCTCTTCAGCCATGTATGTTGGAATCCCCTTGCACATGGTAACAATGGATTTTCCAAACTGGTCCAGGTTGTTGACTTTGTCATGCTTGACTGAGTAGATCAGGCTTTTGGGAGGTGGTGCCTCTGGTCCTCTACCCTGAAGCTGAGTGTGGGGAAGACAGGTGGCAAGGAGGAGAGAGAAGGAGTGTTAAACCCAGTGGTTTGTTGAATTGGGGGTTGTATACAAGGCCAAGTAGAAACATTGCTTTGCCAACAAGTTCCGAATAGTCTAGACTGTGGTTTTTACAGTCACTGTGTATGGATGTGAGAGTTGGGCCATAAAGAAGGCTGAGTGCCAAAGAATTGATGCTTTTGAACTGTGGTATTGGAGAAGACTCTTGAGAGTCCCTTGGACTGCAAAGAGATCACACCAGACCATCCTAAAGGAAATCAACCCTGACTATTCATTGGAAGGACTGAGGCTGAAGCTGAAGCTCCAATACTTTGGCCATCTGATGCCACCTGAGCTGACTCATTGGAAAAGACTCATCTGATGCTGGGAAAGGTTGAGAGCAAGAGGAGAAGGGGACAACAGAGGATGAGATGGCTGGATGGCACTACTGACTCAATGGGCACGAGTTTGAGCAAACTCCAGGAGATAGTGAAGAACAGGGAAGCCTGGCGTGTTGCAGTTCATGGGGTCGCAAAGAATAGGACAACTGAGGGACTGAACAACAACAAGGCTGACAGGGCATATTTCTAGGCTATAATTTTTCCATAATCAAAATGAAGAAGAACCAATTACAACCCTGTATATCTCAGCACTTTGAAATGTCCTAAGGGATTTAGCTGATTCAAAACCTCAGCTTTTCGTAACAGCGTTAAGTCAGGGTAAAATTACACTGAAGGTTGTAGCTCGTTTGGTCATCTTATATTCCTTGGATTGAGCTATATGATAATCAGTCTCTGAAAATGCAGTTTTCTTTACACTATCATTAAAAGATACCCACTTATCAGTTATACAAATATAAACTCAGGCTGACATTTTAGTGATAGTTCCCCTCTCCCTGCCCACCACTCCTAGGGTTACCAGATAAAATACAGGACACCCAGTTAAATTTTGATTTCAGGTAAACAACAGATCATTTGTAAGCATGTCCCAAATATTGCATGGGACATAGTTAGGAAAAAAAAATTATCCACTGTTTATCTGAAATTCAAACCTAACTGGGTATCCTCTATTTTTGTTTGTTAAATCCAATAACCCTAACCCAAATCTTCCAGGAAAATGTCCTTGAAGTGCGGAGGACTCCCCTTGATGTGAACAGAGCTTTGTTCCCCTATTAGTAAGAGTGAGGTGTTCTGATCAGACTCCAGAGGGGCAGGTTTGAGTGTGATGGCAGTTGCCTCTTGTCAGGCAGTTCCAATTCCTCTTCCCCTTTAGGCTGCACATGACAATGTACTATGTGGTCAAGAGGGAGCAACTGTGACCTTCTCATGGTTTATTGGAAATCATAAGACCCCTCTGCCTCCCCACCCCCAAGCAAAGAATAAAATGACTTTTGCTTTTACCTTGTTTTTCTTGGCCAGCATATCAAGGGCTTGAATAGAGGGCATGACTTCCTTGTTCATTTTGTGCACAATGCACGACTTCTTCTTAAAGGATCTGATTACAGCAAAGCCCTATTAAAGAAGATGGTGGGTAGTAAACAGTGTGTTCTCCAAGGTGTCTTTCTCATCAGAAATTAGTTTCACCAGCAGAGGGAAATGGAATTGTGAGATCACAATGGACTGAGATAAGAGTGCTGGATCTGGCCCTGTTTTGCAATCATATTTATTGCTGACATTTGGAAGCATAGATCACAAACTCTTTGAGGGAGAGACTGTTGAATTCACTTCAGGCTCTAGCCCAGCAAGAGTCTCCCTACATGTTTGTTTTGCTGAAATAAATTTTTAAATACTTTCATGTTTTAATCTCCTTTGATCTTCACAACATTTCAAGCAGGCTAGCAGGATAGTTGGAGAAGGCAATGGCAACCCACTCCAGTACTTTAGCCTGGAAGATCCCATGGATGGAGGAGCCTGGTAGGCTGCAGTGCATGGGGTCGCAAAGGGTGGAGCACAACCGAGCACCTTCACTTTCACTTTTCACTTTCACGCATTGGAGAAGGAAATGGCAACCCACTGCAGTGTTTTTGCCTGGAGAATCCCAGGACGGTGGAGCCTGGTGGGCTGCTGTCTATGGGGTCACACAGCGTCGGACACAACTTAAGTGACTTAGTAGCAGCAGCAGCAGTAGCAGGATAGTAATTAGTTTTATAATTGACCAGATGATAAAACTGAAACTACAAAGAGTTGCCTTTTCTAAATGACAAATTTTGTTAAATACAGAGCTGATAATTGCAGAGTTAGGTTTTCTAACTAGAGCCAAGTGGGTATTATTTTTTTGTTGTATTTTTAGCTGCCCCTACATTTAATTAATATTGTCACTTACATTTACTTTGGTCCTTTTGAATTATAAATGAAATGTCAATTTCTATCTTTTTAGGAAATTGACAGTAGAATGATATGGATTATGGTTTGGCAACAGTAATATTATGAAGGTCTTTCATCTTTATTGAGGGTTTCTGCAGGTAAGGCCAAAGGATGTTGCACTTGTTTTATAGCCTCATACCATTCACTGGATTCTAATTAACATTCACTGACTTGAATTTTAACTTACTATGAGAAACTTATTGACAGCAATTTTATCTAGGAAGGTAAGCTGAGTAAGCAAAAGAGACACTTTTACTTATAACTCTCTTCTTATGTGCAATTAGAATTTACGTAATTTTTTTTTTATGGTTAGCAGGCAGTTTTCATTATTGTTTAAAAAGGAATGCCATGTTTGCAAAGAACAGATATTGCGTGTTGACTACCTACACTTTCGTAATCCCAGAGGGAATTCCAGGAACCCCATCCGTTGTTATTGTCAATATTGGCCACGCCATGTTCGTTGTTGACACTCACTGACTGCTGCCCACTTCCACCACTGTTGTTGTTATCATTGACATTGATATCCTGAAATTTACAAGAAATTGACAATGATTTAATACCACTTTTCTTTTTTCAAATGCATTTTGGTAACACACTTTAAAAAATAAAACTTACATAGCCAGCAAGAGTAGGAGTCAGGAAGATGCCAAGAAGTCCAGCAAAGACAATCTGAAATCACAAATAACATTGGTCTACTGTTAAATGGCAAAACGATGTCCTCATTGTCTTTTTCTAGAAAAACTTATAAAAATGCTTACTAAATTTGTTGAGTGATCTGTCTTTTCTTCTTTGATCTTCAATTTTTTTAAACCGTAGAAAATTCAATGATAATGTTGAATTTTAGGTTAATTATAGATAATTATGTTGATTGTTTTAGAATTTTTAATGTGGGTCTTACGAAAAACTGAAGAAGTGTAAGTATGTTGAAAAATAGCGTTGACCTGAATAATAGCATACATGGCATGAAAATGGTTTTAAGTTCTGAGAAGCAGACCTGAAACTGAATTAAGATAACTTTCTTAATGTGGTCTAGAAATCAAATAGGACTAATTTCCAGATTAAATTATTGACCTGAATGCTTTTTCTTCTTCCAAGACCTCCTAATCTCAGAAGCAGTCTTTTTATTAAAAAAATTTTTTATTTATTGTGGTAAAAGTCACACAATATAAAACATACTATTTTAACCATATTTAACTATATAGTTCAGTGACACTAAATACATTCATACTATTGTCCCTATTTCCCCTTCCCATCCCACCCCAGGCCCCTGGCATCTATCAATGTACTTTTGACTCTACAAATTTAACTATTCTAGGTATCTCGTGTGAGTGAAATCAAATAGTATTTGTCTGCATTTACTGTATATACATATATTCAAAGCAATGGATTAGTAACCAGGTTGGATATGAATGATGAGAGGCCAAAGATGGAGTATCTGGCTATCAAGTGTACTTAGTAGAAGGGAAGTCAATCACTGTCCCAGGACACCTGGGGTAACATAGTTGTCATTGAGTACATGATACTGGTTCTCAGAACACAGAGCTTATGCAGGATGCACAATTCTGGGTCCCTATGTTCATTTTCTTTGCCTGGAACAAAATGGTTTGAGACCTGCACTAGTGATTCAAGATAATTTAAAAACATGTTTGATGTATCCCCTGATAGTTTAAAAAGGAGGATGAAAAAAATCAGAGGTGGAAGAAATTTTAAAGATCTATTAGTACAACATAATTCTTCACAGATGAGAAAATGGAGCTTCAGAAGTTGAGTGACTTGGCCAAGGGTGTACCTTTTGTTCATACCACAACTGCAAGAGAAATCAGATCTAACCTGTCTCTGAAGCTCTTTTTTTTTCTTAACCTTCCTATCATTAGCATTTATTTCCAGAAAACTATTTCACACTTGCAACTCCATTATGAAGCAGAATCTACTGTCATATATTTTAATGTTTAGTATGTCAAAATATTAATGTTTATTCACCTTACTCTAGCCCTTTTGCATCCTGTTATGAGACAGACAGCATCACCGGTTGCTTTGGCAGAATTTTGCTGTCCATTTGCTACTCTCTCGGCAAATGAGCTGATGAACTAGCTTCATGCTACTAGTGTTTTCATGACTATAAGACTATAGACAGGGTTCAAGGCAAAACTTTTACTTAGAGATCCATTTCACAGGAGGGAATGTGACAGTAAGTCTCTCACTAATTTGTTTTGAAAATAAGCTTTTTATCTTGCCTGAACCTGCTCAGTAGTTTTTTTTTGTCAAAAACGGAATTCAAGAATGTAATGAAAAATCAGACATTTCCTACAGAGTTAGCAACTGCTTGCACTGTGCCTAGATCTGAATCAACAGATCCAGAAAGCAATTTTTTTTTAAAGATAGCACCGTATAAGATGCTCGAGCAGCTGACTAATCCCAGTATAATTATCCTTCTCTATGGAGATGTTTATAAATGCCATGATTCCATAAAAAAGGATTATTCTTATTTTCACAAATTTTTCCATGACAGTGATAATAAGAAGCATACCCCCACTTAGTTGAGAATATTAGCAGTTTCCAATTATAAGGTAATAAATTCAAAAGTAACAATCTACTCACTGTGAACTTCATCTTAACTGCACCAAAGCAATGAAGCTGAGATGACAGGTGTGCATTCAGATAAAAAGTGTTCTCATATTTGTACTTGACCAGCTTTACTCAAGCTAGGTGTGAACAGGTGGGGCCTAAGACTTATCTTTCTCCATTTTCCATATCTGTGCCACATTCCGGAATACCAGGAAGCATTTTGGAATATCCGCCTGGTTGGCAAGGCATTTTGACATGGAGCTGATCTGACTCACCATATGTTGAAGTTGAAGATATCAAAATGAGCAGTATGATTGATGACAACTGCTGGTCCAATTGAAGCCGTGGCTGTGGGTATTTTATACATTGATATTACTGAGATTTAGGAAAAGAATCGTCCCTAAAATCAAACAAGATAAGAAACTATGGACCTCTTCCTGTTAGAACGTGGCATGGCTTCCTCTTCGTACCTTCAACTGAGCCACTGTGATGTTTTTGCTTAGGCTAAGCTGTTCTATTAGGGCTTCCCAAGTGGCGCGGTGGTAGAAAATCTGTCCGTCAATGCAGCAGACACAGGAGATGCGGGTTGGATTCCTGGGTCAGAAAGATCCTCTGGAGGTGGAAATAGTAACCCACTCCACTATTCTTGCCTGGGAAATCCCATGGATGGAGGAGCCTGGTGGGCTACAATCCATGGGGTTACAAAGAGTTGGTCACAACTGAGCATGCAGGCATGCAAACATATTCTATTAGCTACTCCCACCAAACCTATATCTTCCTCTGCAATCCTGAACTCTCTCAGTGACAGAACCACACATCTGGTTAGAAAACTAAGGACTCTCTGTGACTCTTCCCACCACATACAGTTAGTTACTAACCCTTGTCATTTCATCTTAGAATTGACTCTAAACCCTAGCTTTGTCCACAGCTTTGTTCACCTGGACTTTTACAACAGTGATGTAATTGATAGCTCTGGTTATCAGTCTCATATTCCAGGGCATTTTCTCCATTTTCCCTAAGGCTGTTTTTCTAAAGTATTTAAGTAAACTGACTCTACTGTGCTTTGAAATTTTCACTGACGACCTACAAGATAAACTTCACGCTCACAGGAATGGCACAGAGGGCCATTTTTTATAAGATTTCCTAAGCCTCTCCAGCTGTATCTGTCACTCTATGCTAAAAATCTGTATTTGAGCTACACACCAGGGTTCTCACTCTAGTGGGAACATTCAGGATGGTTCATGCCTCTTTGCCTTCATACATGCTATTCCTTCACCCTGGAGTGCCAACCTTGCCTTTATTTCTAGCTGGTAATCGTTATTCATTTTCCAGGCCCAGCTCAAATATCACTGCCTCCATCATGGCTTCTCCATATCCTGGGGCTAAATCTTTTTCTTTTCCCCTGGAGCTCTAAAAGGAATCCTTGTCCTTTGACTTGTTTTTAGATAATTAAATTTTCAGAAATGATGCTAACATAATCTTTTTCTGATGTTTTCATCAGAAGCAGAGAGTAGATATTGTCACTTGGGCAAACAAGAAAAATGCTCAAAACAATCTTGGAGGTGAATTAAAGTCTTAATTTTTTTTCCTGCTCTCTCTTACAAACGGAAGTTAGTAAATTAAATTACTGAAGAGAAAAACTATACCTCATGAATCACTGATCTATAAATTTCCCCTTGGGAAGACTTCCTGAGCCCATAGCTATCCTTCTATGTATGGATTGCAATCACAGTACTGGATTATGTGGTTATAAAGCTTGATCACTATCTATATCTCTTTCAGAATGTTGGTTTGAGTGGTTTAGTGTAGCTGTGATAAGATTTTGTTTATGTTTTTAATATGTTCACTAATCTTTACCAAACTTACTCTTTAACTGCAGAAGATCGAGAAGCCTGGGATAGAGGCAGACATCTGTGAAGAGGTCTTCATCTTCTTCACATGCTGCCATGCGACTTCAAAGTCAGAGGGGACAGAATGGTGTCTGTACACTCAGTCATGTGTAGTCACATTGGCACATCACTGCAGTACCTAGGATACGCTTTAAGTGTCATATCTAATGAAGGATTGGAGGTTGACATATTTTCCTCTGGGCCTATGGAATGCTGGTCTGGAAGATGCTCCACAATGAGTAAATAGTTAATTAGCTAACTAGAATTCAGGGTTCAATAATCTCCCTCTTAGGAACTGACAACTCACATTTACCTATCAAATGTGCTGAGGAATTTGTAGAGGAGAAATCTATGTCGTGTTGTTTCATCCAGATTCTCCTAAACTTAACTGACCATAGAACCTGGTTTTCCTTTTTTCTTTTATTGATTTATTTTTCCTAATATCTATTAACATTCCTGGGAGGCAGCTTCCTTAGGGAGACAATTGTGCTGCCTACGAGGATGCATCTTGGATTTGACAATAATTCCTCCTTTATATAACATTGTATTTCAGTGGCCTCAAAAGTCAGAAGAACGTCTTCCTCTGTGCTTTGTGTGTGCTGTGCTGTGCTTCATCACTCAGTCATGTCGAACGTTTTCTGACTGCATGGATTGTAGCCCACCAGGCTCCTCTGTCCACGGAATTCTCCAGGCAAGAATACTGGAGTGGGTTGCCAAGCCCTCCTCCAGGGGATCTTCCCAACCCAGGGATCGAACCCAGGTCTTCCACATTGCAGGTGGATTCTTTACTGTCTGGGCCACCAGAGAAGCCCATGAATACTGGAGTGGGTAGCCTATCCTTTCTCCAGAGGGTCTTCCCAATCCAGAAATAGAGCTGGGGTCTCCTGCATTGCAGGTGGATTCTTTACCAGCTGAGCTACCAGGGAAGCCCATAATTTGTGTGAAAGTGAAAGGTGCTCAGTCGTGTCCAACTCTTTGCAACTCCATGGACTATACAGTCCATGGAATTCTTCAGGCCAGAATACTGGAGTTGGGTAGCTGTTCCCTTTTCCAGGGGGTCTTCCTGACCCAGGAATCGAACTGGGGTCTCCTGCATTGCAGGCAGATTCTTTACCAACTGAGCTATCAGTGTAGTATGTATGAAATATACTCACCTCACCCCACACCCTACATGTGTGTGGGGAGGGGTCAACCCTGACCTCAACACTAGTCTCATTCAAAAGTCTTAAGGAAGTGGGAATTCCCTGGCAGTCCAGTGGTTAGCACTCTGCACCCTCACTACTGAGGACCCAGGTCCAATTCCTGGTAGGGGAACTGAGATCCTACAAGCCATGTGCATGAGCAAGTCTCTTGCTCCCTTCCATTCTTCCATTTTATATGTTTCTTATCTTCCATTGAGAGAAAAACAGGTGTTTTTGTCACCTCCATAGAACTTAGAATATATATGGCACATATATGATGCTCCATAGGCCCATTTTGGGCTTCCCTTGTGGCTCACCTGGTAAATAATCTGCCTGCAATGGGGTAAACCTGGGTTCGACCCCTGGGTTGGGAAGATCCCCTGGAGAAGAGATAAGCTACCCACTCCAGTATTCTGGCCTGGAGAAATCCATGGACTATATCCATGGGGTTGCAAAGAGTTGGACATGACTGAGAGACTTTCACTTTCAGGCCCATTTTAAAATTTAGAATTAGAAAAAGGAGAGGCTTCCCTGGTGGCTCACAGTAAAGAATCTACCTGCAGTGCAAGAGACCCAAGTTCAATCCCTGGGTCAGGAAGATCCCCTGGGGAAGGAGATGGCAACTGACTCCAGTATTCTTGCCTGGAGAATTCCATGGACAGTCCACGGGGTCACAAAGAGTCAATCACAACTGAGTGACCAACATACACTGAAAGGTGATGCTCAAGCTAGAAGATAAAATATGCACAATATTTATTCATTTCTGATTTTTGTAGCCAGCTAGATAGGTGCTGCCTTGCACTGGCTATGGTAACACAACATGGGAGTCTCAGGAGATGGTGTGACCCCAGTGCCCAAGGTCAGTGTGGGGCAAACCAGCCCCTGCGTAAATAAAGCCTCCTCTGCCCACAGAGCTCAATGCTGGGCCATGGAAAGAACAAGGCCCTGTTTTATCTCACAGCACACACACCCAGGACCTCACGTCACCCCACACCCTGTATGTCCAGCTGGGTGTAAGCTCTCTTTGTGTGGATCAAACAGGGGTGCGATATGACTGCGATATGGTCAGACCACAGATCCGGAGGAACTTTCGGAGCTGTTCTGCATAAATCAAACTTCTATTTCCCTTCTCTCTTTCTGAGTGAAAAGGGATGTTTACTTACAGGGCAATTTTTCATCATTAAGTATCCTCATTCAAGATTCCTTCTCTGGTGTAGGTACGTAGAGGGGCTACCCTCAACACCTAGGAAGCCCGAAAGAATCTCATTCTCCGTTTTCTTCTCCCCCATTTTCTGATACTTAGGACTCAGCTGGCCTTTAACCCCTGTGACTTCACACTATACTGTCTTTGCTGGAGGGGGGACTCCCCTTCATGCTGAGATGCTGTCTCAGTCTCTCTGCCTCTGTTGTCTTGCTGAACACCAGACTGTGATGGTCCCACATCGGATGGTTCACTGTGAAATCTGAGCACCTTTGTCATTTGGAGGTGGGGACTGGAGGGGACTTCTGCCCCCATCCCACAATCTTGCTTTACCAGTTTGCATCTAAGACTCTAATAACAGTCCCTGTGATTACAGCTCCCAGGGCTTTTAGCCATGATGTACTCCTATTGAATCTCCCATATATATTTCTGGCCAGGAATGACACATCTGAAAAAGTAGCAATAGGAACATGTAGAATAGCATGTTAATAATTGTTGCTAGAAAGCTTCCAATTCCAGAAAATCCATACTTATTACATAGTTGTTTTTTTGTATAGGAGAGAAATTCTTTTCAAATTACAGCAATGTGAAGGAAGCTGTTTCTTATGGCATCACAGATTCTTCTCTTTTTGTTATTTCCTCAAGGACCATTGCCTGCCAAAATCTATATAATGCTGACTTTCTGTTGCTGCCTGTATGTCTGTCCAATCACATCTGCCAAACCTCTGAAACCCCTCAGAGACAAGCTGTGATACATTATGACTCCAACCCATCGCTAACCTTGAGCGTTAGAGCGTTGTGAACAGGAT